GCCGAGCGCGAATAACGATGTGGGCCAAGATAGCGGCGAGTGGAGATCGGAACGGTGTGACAGAGAACGTTGTTCGAGACGCGGGGACGCGCGTTCGCGAGGGCGCGGTGAGCGCGGCGCATGAGGCGAAGCCGATGGCCGAGCGAGGACGACAGACGAGAGACGCGGGCAGGACGAGCACGCAGGGACGGCAGGCGATGAGCGCGCGCGGGTATAACGCGAGTGACGCGATGAATTCACACGCCCATGGGGGCGCCAAGACGGGCGCGGACGATCGAGAGCGTCGAGATCGCGGTGGGGCGGTGGACTTGGACAGTTTAATCGCACTCATCGAGCAAGTCGATCCAAGCGAGGTGGAACGCGTGCTGCGAGAATCCGTCTTCAAACCAGGACCGCCCGCGTATACGAGCGTGATCAAGGCGTGTGGAAAGATCGGGATGTGGCAAAAAGCGCTCGAGGCGTATCGATTGATGACGATTCTACACAGAGCAAAGCCGAACACTATTACGTGCTCGGCGCTCATCAACGCTCTGGGTAGATCAAGGCAGTGCGACAAGGCGTTCGAAATTTTCGACGAGATGAAGCAGCGAGGGATTCCAGCGAATATTTTCACCTACAGCGCGCTCCTGAGCACGTGTGCAAAGGCGAAGCAGTACCAGAGAGCGATGGACGTGTTCAACGACTTGGTTGAAAATCATCAGGAAATTGAGGTGGATCGAATCACATACAGCGCCGCAATTTCGTGCTGTGTGCAAGGGCGGAGGGCAGATAAGGCGATCGAAATTTTCAATAGAATGACCGCGGCCGGGATTCGAGGGAATACGATCACTTTCAACACTGTGTTGAACGCGTGCGAGAAGTCTGGAGACGCGGAGCAAGCGGTGGCAACTTTTGAGCGCATGCTCGAGGAGAAGGTATCGGTCGATAAGACCTCGTTTCACGCCCTCATCGGTGCCTTGGATCGTGCGAGGGATCTTCCGAGGGCGATCGAGTACTATCGGATGATGAAATCCATGAGTGTGCGCCCAGATGCGACGACGGTGTCAAACATGTTGAACGCGTGCGCGAACGCAAAGGATCCCGTTGCAGCGATCAAGATTTACAAGGAGGCTCAGGCGAAGTACGACATTGCGGCTACGCCGGGGATGTTCAATGCGCTTATCACGGCGTTGCACAAGGGTAAGCGACACGATTTGGTTTACGAGCAACTCTACGATTCAATGTCCCAGAGTGCGCTCTCAGTGTCGACGTACGTGCACCTCATGATGGCGTGTGAGAGGTTTCAGAACTGGGCAAAATCGTTCGAAATCTTCGAAGAGTTTAAGAAACACTCACCCACGAGTGTTGATCCGTTCATGTGGACTCGTGTGTTCTTGTCGTGTGGACGGTTTGATAGCGACGACCCTGTTTGGAAGAACGGGTGCATCCCGGGATACACCAGCCCGACGCTGGAGCACGCTCGAGCCACTCTGCGCGGACTTTGGTCGGAGTACAAGTTCAAATTGAGAAATATAAAAGGATGGGGTGCCGGTACGCGAGTATTTGATGCGGAAACGCCTGTACAAAACGGCGATGAAGGGATTCGCTTTGGTACTGTTCCCTCCAACACCGATCTCGCCGGTAAAGAGGTGCATTCGGATGCGCCAGATCAAGATTTCTTCCAGATGATTAACGCATACAGGTCGGCTGCGGCTGCAGCCGCACGATGTTCCGATCCGAACACTGTTTTAGACATTCTCAACTTCTGCGAAGAGACCTCTGTGCCGAGCGATTCAATACTTTTGGGCGCGTACGTCGCCGCACTCGCCCTGAACGGCGACCGAATCGGAGCGAACGAAAAGTTCAGAGAAATGTTTGCGTTGGGACATCAACCAGGTATCGCGGTGTACGCCGCACTCGCGAGAGCGGCGGCTCGCGCCGGGGATGCAAACACCGCTCTCCATCTCGCGGAGGAAGTTGGGCACCTAGTTGGGAACTCCTCAGGAGACCGGGACATGATTGAAGCAGTTGTCGCGGCGTGTGAGGCTGGGGGTGACTGGGGTCGCGGAGCGAACCTGTTTGCGATTTGGGCTAAAAACGGTGTCGAAGGGGCGGATGGTGAGCTCCGTCGAGCAGCTGCCGCGTGCAGTGGACAAGATCCTGGGCCAACTCGAAGAGGTTCGACGTACTTTCGCGCACGGCCTTCCACACCAGCGCACAAACCTACGGCGCTCACCGCCCAAGTCGAGCCATTTGTACCGACTCGACGCGTGAGTCAGAACAGATCACGTACGCAAAGCATGTCTGACGAAGGAGGAACAGCTGCGATGACGCCAGAAGCGTAGCAATGAAAAGGGGCAGTCGGAAAACTAATACTTTAGCAGTCCCGCGACTTGTCATAGCATTGAGAGAGGCATTTGCCAACTTCGGTCGTCAATTTTCGCATAGAAATGTTTCTGAAATTGCAACACAGTGATACAAGTTCGCGAAAGAGTGTCGTTTCGCGAGCCATAGTGGGATGTGGTAATTTGCGCAGTCGTGAAGCGCAACCCGTACCGGGGACTTAGATGTCAATGAGGTTGCCGAGAAGCTCCTCATTCGTCTTTGTCCCGCCGTTCGCGCCCATCGAAGGCGCTGGTAACGCATTCGAGCCAACTGCCGGCGTGGATCCGTTTTGCTCGTTCTCCTTCACTTCGCCATCCTTCAGCTTCAAGCTCGCCGCGATGGCTTGAGCAATCATCGCTTCTTCCTCCGCTTCGGTCGTCGCGCACTCGATTCTACTCGAACCTAGAGACGGACGACCACTCGGGATCGGCACGGGAGCCGATGAGTTTGGATCTTGGCTGTGGTTCTCAGCGGGAATGTCAGATTTGACCGTGTTCAAAGCGATGTTCAACTTCTCAACCATCGCTAAGAGTCTTCCGAGTTGATCCTCACTCAGGCTCACAGCGTGGTCCGACATCTCCAACACTTGCATGAGATGTGCCCGGTGGGCTTTGCAAACGTCGCTCAATTCCAAGTCCAGCGCGTCGTTCATCTCCGTGTCGGCGTCCAGGTCGCCGCCCGACTCGCGTATCTCCTTCAAAAGCAACGCGGCCGTAGACGCCCCTTCGAGCGTATCCTCCAACTCATCGAGTACGTATCGTAAATCGATCGACCTCGAACGCGCGTGATGTCGAGACAACATCTGTCCGGCGCGTGGAGAGCCCACGACTGTGTCTTCGAACGCGGTGTTGGAGTACGTAGATCTCGTCGCACTCGGAGACGTGCCCGCCGTGTTCGAGTCTGAGAACGCGTTCTTGAGCGTCTTCTTCAGCGACTTTAGATGCGCCGTCGCGCGCTGCGCTAACGATCGTCCCGCACCTCGAAGCGGCACGCTCTCGAACGCTTCGTAGTCATTGGACGACCCCCCAAAGGCTGGATTGGCGCGCGAGGGCGAGCTCATCTGGTTCGCTCCTCCGCGCGGCGCGTCGTCGATCGCCCGCTCCATATCGTCCACGGCCTCCTCCTGCGATGTAACGATCGATCACGTTCGTCAGTCATTTTGATGTCGCGCGCTCGTCGTCGCTCGCGTTACGAGTCACATCGTTCGGTTCAACGCGGTGTCGACCGTGACGTGGAACGCGAGACTTTCTCGTCGTCTCCGTCTCCGTCTCGTTCGCCGTCGTCGCGCACCTGTTCCGTGGCTGTCATCAACGATTGGTACTGCGTCTTCTTCTCATCCCTGAACATTTTTCTCGCGTGTCGTTCGAGCCACGCGCGCGCACTGTCCAGTGGCGACGACGAAGGAGAGATCTCGTCGCGTCGATCGGTGAGGCTCGACTTATGAGACTGAGACTTTTGAGACTACCGGGTAGAGGCGCGCGGGCACATGTTTCTGTTCTTTCAATTTTACATATCGGCACATCGAGCGCGTCCGCGCGAGACGACGCGTCTACAGCGGTGATTCGCACCTTTTGACAATCTCGGTCGACGTCGTTCGCGTTCATTTCACACATCAATCGCGACGCCTCAGTGGTCGTCGCCCACTGGGGATTTCTTCGGCCGGCTCTTCCTTCGATGCGGCACGATGGAGAGGAGCGTTGGCGTCAGCGGAGCGTCACCGGGTGGGCGATCCTTTGAACTATATTTGCGTTTCGCGGACGACACGACTTTCGTCGGCGTCACGCCTTCGCTAGAAGGGGAGTCGTCTTCGCTCTTCACCTCACTCTTCACGGGCGACTTACCGCGCGGACCGCTCCCTTCGCTCACGGGCGATTTGTTTCGCACGGGCGAGCGTCTGTCGCCGCTCAACTTGTCAGATTTCGACGTATTCTTAGCTTGCACACTCTTGCGCGGCGTCGGCTTGATGGTCTCCGCGGCGAAAGCCATGTCTATTCCGTCCTTTGCCGTCATGTCCTCGCCCGCGTTCACCTTGCAAGAAATTGAGCAGTAACGACTGTTGTCGCTCTGAAGGATTCGAGCGCAGTGGCAGCACTCCGAGTGAGCGATTGTCTGGGACGTAGATCCAGCTCGCGAGCGCTGATCTCCTCGCCCAGACGTCGTACCCTTATCTTCCTTACCCTTGGTCGACCTCGGGTGCGGTCGCTCGTTTAGGAACACGACGCGCGCCGAGTTGATGATGTAGGTTTGAATCTCCTGCACATCGATCAGCCTGCACACGTCCTGAACGCGAACGACGTTGTGATATGAGCTTCGTCGAATCTGTTTCGAGCGCTCGTCGCGTCGATGCTTCGTCGTCAGTCCGCGCGTTCGATCCGTATCCGGTTCGCCCGCCCCCCCCCCAGGGCACGTCTCTCGGCATCGTGGTCGTGCGTCGGTCGACCGCCCGTTCGAGTCTCATCCATTCACGCGGGCACGGTGGTTTGTTGCGTCGAGCGTCGAGAGGGGTTTGGTCGAGCGGCGACGACGTGCGCGCCGTCGCGAACGTGCTCGAAAACGATCGGACGCAATGTCTCTTCATCGCTCCCTCGCACCTGAATCGTATCCGTCGCTCGCGCGTCGAGCGCGCACGCCGGACACAACGAGCGACGCATTCCTATCGAGAACATATTTCTTTGCTCGCCCTTACTTCCGGTACTGTGCACGTCGCACGGGGCGAAGAACGACCCCTGCACGAGATCTGGGATCCACGATAATTCCCTGGGCAATCTCTCGCGCGCCTCGCACGCGATCGAGGGCACCTGCGCGAGAGCATCGGTCAGTGTTCTCGTCACCAATTTAGGTCCATCGCCGCGTCCGGACGTTCGTGGAAACGAAGACTCGGGCGCGCGCGAGGGAGTGAAACGCACCGTCATCGCGCTCGAGCGGTGTGAGAAAATGTTATCGTCAAGTTCTCAAACCACTCGAGAACACGTAACGTCTACGCGGGACGCGGCGACGCGTGAGGCTTGAGACGACGCCCAATGCGCGGTCGGTGGTTCGACAGCTGCGAAATTTGATTTTTAGCGAAGATTGGGAGGTGGTTTTATTTTCGTATTCAAATGTCATGGACGGTATCCAATAAAAACGATAGTACAAGTAAGCGCTGGCGCGTGGTCACCACACGATGTTAAAGACATTGCATTAATGCCCGTGACGTGAACAATGTATGTATTGACGAGTCAGGAACCGGAATTACCCCCCTCAAAAGGTATATGGATTCGTGGAGACCTGATTTTCTGGACCCGCGCGCCGGCGCCGTCCGAGCGGTCACTCGAGGGCGCGTTGTGAGCATTAACGTGCCTTTGGTTGAAACCTCTCGTTTCAACGCTCGCGGTAGCGGTTCGACGACGCGCGGCGCGCGGCAAATTTCGGTAAAATCGAGCAATTTCCGAGCCGCAGAATTTTTTTTCAAAAATGTATGGGAAAAAGTAGTTTTTGGACGACGGAGAACGCTGTAGACGCTTTCAGACGGCGAGATCGGCAGTGATTGGTGTCGTCACTGTTTACAACGTTCGTGCGGCGTCGAGGCAGGTAGGGTGAAGATGTTGCGCAATTCAACTGCATCGGTCACTAAAGATGCATTCACGATGCCACCTGGAGATACGTCAAAAATCGGTCACGCTGCCCCGCACGACAGCTTGCTCGATCGCCTGACGCGGAGTTCTCGATCGCGCGAACTTCGTCCGTCGTCACCGCGAATCTCGCGCGCGCCGTCCACGCTCGAGCGGTCGCACTGTGGAGACCAATCGGTGAATCACATCGCACGCAATCACATCAATTTGCACCTTAACGCGCGTTGCGACGCCGAATCGCGACGAAAATCGCTCAAATTTGGAGAGGAAAGTGAAAAAACGTCGACGAATCGATCCGCGGCGTGAACTCGCGCCGTGTATTCTAAACCCTAGAAAATAGGGTTTACGGTCAACATTGCTCGCCCCAGCGTCGCGCCTCCTTACGACGCCGCGACGCGCGCGCCCGCGCGATCGGCAGACGAACCCGTTCGCGTCCGCGTCCGCGCTCGCGCTCGCGCTCGCGCTCGCGCCGTCGTCGCGCGCGGGTCCAGAAAATCAGCTCTCCAACGCATCGCGACTCGTCGCGTCAACGAGGGGTCTTCGACGGGTCGTGACTCGCGTTTCTCTCGCGTACCCCCTCGCCGGGATTTTAGAGTCCCCAAAAGAGGTCGATTCACGACTCGTCGTGTGCGCCGTGTCAAAATCCATATACCGCGGGAGGGTCACCGACCCTCGAGTTACACTCTTCGGGTATGGTGACAATAAACCCTACACTCGTATTCTGTTCTTAACAAGCCTTTCAAACAAAACGGAATCCGAAAAGCCGTTGCTCCTCGCGTCCTCGGTGATCATTTCAAGGAGTCAAAGGCGCATCGAGCGATGACGTCGACCGCCTTTTGACACTCCGCGCTCGTGACGATGAGCGGGGGGACGAGGCGCAAGATATTACCCTTACCGGCGGTGATGACGAGCAGGCCCGCGTCGCGACAGGCTTTGACGAGCGGCGCGGCTGGGACGTCGAACTGCACGCCGACGAGCAATCCCGCGCCTCGCACCTCGACCAGGTGCGGGTGGCCCTTGAGTTTCTCAGCGAGCGAGCTCTTCAATTCGTTCCCTCTGTCGGCGACATTTTGTAAAAACGCCGGCGTGCTAACGCGATCGAAAACCTCGTTCGCCACGGCGCACACCAGTGGACCGCCCGCAAACGTCGAGCCGTGGTCTCCAGGAGCCATCACCGAAGCAACCTTGTCCTTCATCAGCACCGCGCCGATGGGCAAACCGTTCGCCAGAGGCTTCGCCACCGTCAGGATGTCAGGCTCCGCATCTTGCACCATTTGATGACCCCAAAGCTTACCAGTTCGTCCCAAACCGCACTGAACCTCGTCGTACACGAGCAACGCGTCTGCCTCGTCGCAGAGCTTTCTCAAACCTCTCAAAAATTCGGCGTCCGCAGGATAGATCCCCCCCTCGCCCTGCACCGGCTCGATGAACACTGCGCACGTCTTTCCTTTGACGATGACGTTCTTCGCCGCCTCCAAATCGCCGTATGGCGTGAACGTGTTGCCCGGAAGGCCCGGGGCGAACGGCGCTCGGTAGCCCTCCTTCCACGTCAGCGAAAGCGCTCCCATGGTGCGACCGTGAAATCCGTTCTCGAAACTCACCGTTTCGTACGCGGCGTCCTCGACGCTCTTACCGTTCGCCTGCGCGCGCGACTTTGCATATTTTCTCGCGAATTTCAACGCCCCTTCGTTCGCCTCCGTTCCGCTATTGCAAAAGAAAACTTTGTCGGCGAAGGACGTCGAGCTGAGCTTCCGAGCGAGCGTCGACATGGGCTCGGTGTGATACAGATTGCTCGTGTGCACGAGCGTTCGAGCCTGCGCCGACATCGCTCGCGCCACGCCCTCGTCCGAGTGTCCGAGGCAATTCACGGCGATGCCCGCGGTGAAATCCAAAAACTCCCGTCCCTCGGCGTCCCACAGCTTACATCCCTTCCCTCGAACCATGACCTCGGTCTCTCCTCGTCCGTACGTCTGTAACACGCACTCTCGCTCGTTCTTTCGCACCGCATCCGCGTCGACGTTCGTCGCGGACGATCCACCGAACAGTCCGCCCAAGAACGCTCGAACCGGCTCGACGCATCGTCGTCGACGCGTTCCCACGCGCGCGCGATGCCGAGGCGCGCGTCCACCGCGCGCCGCCGCGCGCGCGGTGGTGGTGATGGCCATCGTTCTCGTCCTCGTCCTCGTCGTCGTCGGCATCATCGTCGTCGCGTCGTCGTCGTCGAACGCGCGCGTCTGACGCGTCATCGCTCGACGCGTCGCCCGCGGCGGTTGCGTGGACGTCCACACCGCGCGCGCCGCCGCCGCTCGACGCGGTGCGCGCCGTCGATCGATCGAAAGTCATCGGTCGTCGTCGCCCGAGGGACGAACGAGCGACGGCGCGCGCGCGGGCGGGCGAGCGCGGACGAGGCTGCGGCGAGACGCGATTCGGCCACGCAGTCGCGGAGGCGGAGGCGAACGATGGCGCGCGCGCGAGGAGGATGGGCGCGCGCCGCGGTCGGTCTCTGCGCGGTCGTCGTCGCGCTCGTCACGGCGTCGCGGGCGGATGAGTACGCGAGCGCGGTGGAACGCGCGGTGGCGAACTCGCGAGGCTTGGAAGCGTTCGGCGCCGCGGACCGACTCTTGACGCGCGTTCGCGAGAGCCTGTGCGCGGCGAACGAGACCACGTGCGAGAACGAGTACGAGAGCACGCGAAAGGATTTGTGGCTGACGCTCGGGAGGGAGGTTCTGTGCGGCGTCGACACCGACGCCGACTCCACGTGGGAGACCATTCGGCGGACGAACACGCAAGGCGCGTTTGCGGTTTTATTGTCAAAGTGCGTCAGGCCGTGGAGCGGCGATCTCGAAGCGAGCGTGCTGGATTTATCGGTACGATTCATCGCTCGGGCGTCGTTGCAGCGCGATGATGTTAACAGCGTGATCGTGGCGAACGACCTCAAGTCCGGACTGACGACGACGGCGAACTCGGACTTCGACGTCAACCATCCGAGTTACATCCCAGGCTTGGCGCCGGTTCCGACGGAGATCACGGGCTTCAGCGAGACTCGTCCGGTCGTCGTCACCGCGACCGAGCAACCGGACGAAACCGTATACGACGACCCCGACGTTGCGAGGACGATCGCGGAGGTAAGGAAGGCTTGGTCGACGGCGCCCAAGTCCTCGGCGGGCGCGACAGAGGCGTTTCCGTCGGAGTACGCCAAGCGCGTGGAGAAGGAACGCGAGGGCCATCTAGCCGATCTCGGCGTGGAGTCGGAGTATCGTAAAAAGTATCTCAAACATCCGTACGTCAAGGCGCACTACGATAAGGCGACGAAGTGCGCGGGGGCCGCCGAGGACGACGACTTGTGCCTCAAGCGCGTCGTCCCGCGAATCGGGTACACGCACGCCGAGGATGGTACTCGTTTACTCTCCGTTTACGGTACGCCGTTGCCGAGCGATTACATTGACTTCAACCAACCGTACACGTACGGTGTGTACAGCAGACCGTTCTGACGTAGCGTAGCCTTCCCGGCGTTCGCCCGCCCGCGTCGCGCGCGGGCCCATACGGCCAGGGTTTAGAATTTAATGGTGTTGGGAGCTTCATCGCTCGCGCGCGCGTCACACGTCTACTCACTCTCGCCCTCGCCCGCGCGAAGACGTGCACATGAGTGAGCGCGATGGTCTTCTCGCCGTCGACGGCGTGGACGTGCCTCGCGCGGCCGCGGCAAACCGTTCGAGGACTGTCGAGTTCACGAATGACGACGAGAGCGACTACGACCACCTTGGTGCTACCTCCGCTCGCGGGTTCGGCGAGCGACTCTTCGGCAGCAAAAATTGGCGTTCACGCGCGTTTGTGATCGTCCTATTCGCTTGCCTTTGCGCCTTGGGCGCTTTGGCGACACTGCGAATGAGCGGAGGAAAAGGGGTGACAGCGGCGCCGCGTCTGGGCGCCGCGGCTCCTCGAGCGATCAACGCGCCAGGCCACATCCCGGGTTTGGCCGAGCACGTGCAGGGTGTGACGCGATCGACAAAGTTTAGAATCATAACGTTCTGCAACAAATCGTACTGGGTTTTCGCGCACGGACTGCTGGAGTCGATGAAGGCGGTGGCGCCTTCAGTGGTTGACTTTTGGACGGTGATTGTTCCCGACGAAGAGACGAAAAAATTCATCCTTTCCGAGACCTCTGGTGCGGGTCACGCCGTGGACGTCTTCGTCGACGATGATCTTCGGAAGCAAGTGGCTAAATTTGCGAGCGCGGGTAGGGACGAACTGAAGACGATGCTTTCATGGCGAAGGGTTCACGCGATGCAAACGCTCGTGGACGGTGACTTCACCGTCATGTTCATCGAACCCGACGCTGTGTTCCAGAAGAACCCACTGCAGCTCATTCACGATCAGCTCACCCAGAACGATATCATTCTGTCCGCGGACTACGGTCTTGGTTCGACGGCGCAAAAGCGCGCGAACACCAAGGTAATCGTGGCGAAGCCGTCGGCCCAGGGAAAAAAGTTGCTCAACGTCTGGCAGCGCGCCGAGCAGTCGTACACTGGCCAAAAAGCAGAGGCGGGATTTTTCCTCGACCAAGTCGTCCCGCACATCGACGTGCTCACGGCCAAGGTCAAGGTGCTGGATCAAACGCTCGTCGGGAACTACTTGACGCATCACGAAAAGGCTGGGCAAGTCATCGTTACGGGCACCGGGTGCGACAACATCGACTATAAGATTAACTTCATGACACAACTATTGCGTCACGTGCAGCCGCTCGATCCAAACAACTTGGTGCCCGCATTCGATTACGAAGGTGTCGCCATGGGGTGTGACCACTCGGGCCGCGAAAAGGTGTTCAAAATCTCAAACGAGTACGCGAGGTCGCACGGTGTATCGGCCAAGTTGGGCGCGAGCAAGAAGCACCCGAGTAAAAACGACTCGGAGGGTGACGATGAGGACGCCGGTGGTGATCGTTAGGGTCCTCGAGCGCTGCAGTAGAGATTTTAGTGTACACGTATAGATAATTTCCAACTAATCTACAGGCCAGTACAGGCCCCTTCCGTTCTACGTGTCACGCTTCTACGCGCGATCTACTCGCAACGTTCTACCGCCAGTTTGTACGGCAAATATTGCACCTCATATTCAACGTGCTCGCGCACGTCTCTCGTCGCCGCTTTGATCCGACCTTTCGCAGAGTTGCTCTCAAGCATGAATGGTAACTCAAAGCGCGCGGGCGGGATGCGTGAACCGGCGATACTAACTTCTAACCCTTCACGAACGATGAACACGCGCACGTCCTTCGTTTGTCGTCCCGGTGGAACAAACACGCGAAGTTTAGCCGCCGTCACGGGCTGTCCGACGTATTCTAACTCGTGCTGTATGCGTTCGCACACGTTTACCTTCTCACCATTGGTCGCATCTCCCTCACTCACGGGCGATACGAGTGATTTCGGATCCACTCGAATGCGCTGCGGAGGAGGTGGTGCCGCTCCAATGAATAGTCGCGCCGGCAGCTTGTATGTAAAGCTTATCTGCGCTGTGTGTGCGTGCTTCTCGGCGACTCGTCGTAAGCTCAGCTCGGCGACGAAACGTCTCAGCGGCTTGTAAACTTCAGCGTGCCGCAAAACGAATGAATTGAAAACGACGTCGTACACCACCGCTGGTTGCCCACTGGAGTCCACGTCGATCCTTGCGTCCCCACAGCTGAACGGAAAACGCAGTTCGGGAGCGCTCTCTCGGGCTGTTCGCTCCAACGCCCGCGGCACTGACTTGTGCATCAGCCCCTGACTCCATGATTCTCTATTCTCGTCCGGAACGTCCACGAACTCGCTCGCACACACGTTCACGAAGACCTTCGTGCCCGTAGCGTCGAGCGTCTTGACGACAAACTTGGGCTCGAGCTCGACCGTTCTCGTCGCGGACATCGCCGTCGTCGTCGCCGATGTACCGCCGTCTACGCGCTCGAGCCCACCCGACGCGGCCTCTCGAACGAGCTTCATCACCTCTCTCACCTTCTCTTCGTCGTTCATTCCTTCGACCGGAAAAGCGTTCACGAGCTCGTCGAGGAAAGCTTTCGCCTCATCGGGCACGGGCACGCTCGCGCCGTCACCGTCCACGAGCGCGGAGAGCACTTCGCAGAGCTCACGCACGCGCCCGACGTCGACGTCTTCGCCCGCGTCCGTCATGAAGAATGAATATCTATCAACGAACGAGGCGCCGACTGTCGCGAGAGAACGTCGGGGAAGTGCGCGTGTTTCAACTGAAAGAAACTGTGGTGAAAATTAAAATTACGCACCTCCCGCACACGCTCGCGCCCGATCGCGCGTCGAGACGTTCACCCGAGCGCGTCCGCGGTGAGGTGCGTCCACGCGCGGTCTCGGCGCTTCCGTCGTCCCATCCACGGCGCCGTCGACGTCGCCGGTGACGAGATGAGCGAACGGCGCGGTCACGGCGGTCTCGAGCTAACCACGTCGCACGACGTTCGTGCGCGACCCGATGCGGGGAGCGGTCAGCCCTCCGGGGTTTCCGCGGCGTCTCGAACGAGCACGACGACGGTGATCGGTCGACACGAGCACACGATAAGCGGTTACTCGCTCTTGAAAGGAATCGGCGATGGCGAACCAATCGCGAGCGATAGATTCATGGTCGGGGGGCACGAGTGGGTGCTTCTCTTTTATCCAGACGGTAAACGATCGATGAGCGACGGCGGAGCGCCGCCTACGCAGCAAGATGATCCGTACGCAGCACTCTTCGTGGCGCTCATCGGAGAAGGACCGCGCCCGCTCGGAGTGGTCCAGAGCGGTCAGGGTCGCGTCGTTAGAGCATTTCACAGGTTCACCTTGGTTGATCAGAGTGGTAATGGTCGGCACATCACCAAAGGGCGTCAGCGCGAACAAGGCGCGGTGAAAATATCGTGCGCGCGTCAAGACCCACAAGCGAGAAACTGCCATGGATACAGAAAATTTGTTCGCCGGTCCGTCCTGGAGGCTTCCGGCTCGGGGTACCTGGTAGACGACGTGGTCGTGATTCGGTACGAAATTGAACTCGTCGTCACGAACGGCGGAGCGCTGAATAAGAACGCCAAGCTGCTCCCGGCAGCGAGCGTTAACGTACCGTCGTATCCGACTATTGGTAAACATCTTGTCGGACTCCTTTACGACCGCAACGATGAAACTTTTGACTGTACTTTTGACGTCGAAGGGGAGAAGTTTCGCGCTCACAAACTCATTTTGTCTTCACGATCGAGCGTGTTCGCCGGCATGCTGCGCACGGGCGCCGCGATGAAGGAAGGTCGAGAGGGCGTGTTGAAGTTGAACGACGTCAAAGCGGATGTTTTCAGGCTGTTACTTCACTTTGTGTACGCGGATGAGATTCCACGCGGCGGTGGCGCCGAGGCTAGTTTATACGAGCACACCGCTCGCCTCGGCGCAGAAGAAGCACCCGGTGCCGCTGGTGATGAGTTGACTACCAGGAATGGTCGCGCTTCTGATGAATTGGCGCTGGACGTCCCCATGACGCAACACTTGCTCGTCGCCGCTGACAAGTTTGATTTGAGCAGACTTCGCGCAATGTGCGAAGCGCGACTGTGCGATTCCGTGGATATGAGTACCGTGGCGAACACGCTCCTGCTCGCTGAGCTGAATCACGCGTACGCCTTGAAACGCGCGTGTATGGGTTTCATCGCGGCGAACTTGTCGGACGTGATGAGCACGGAAGGTTACGAAGCCATGAACACAGCTTGTCCTCATTTGGCGAGCGAGATATTGAGCGCTGTCGCAGAAATGCGTCCTCTTCGTCCGCAAGGCGCCCCTCTCGCTCTTCCTCAAGACACCGGGACGGCGATTCAAAGCGCAGCAGCGGCAAATCCGGCCACTGCAGCCGCTTTCGCCACCGCCGCGGCTGCCGCGGCCCGACCAGATCGTGATATCGCTCAAGGCGGAGTCCTCGCCGTGCCTCCGACTGTGGCGCACGATTTGACAAATCTCTCCTTTCCGGCGATGTCGACGCTATCAAATTTTTTGTCTCGCGCGGTGCAGCCACCTACCCAAGCGCTGGATCATCCGCCGCCGTCGACGCCGCACGCGGCAACGCTGGTGAACAACGCCGGTGAGGAAGCTCAGCGCGAAGTTGCCGCCGCCATGGCAGCGCGACATGCTCAGCGCGGCGGCGATATCGCCAACGTGGTAGACGACAGCCTCCTTCTCTTCGCCTCGCCTCAAGCGCAACGAGTGCCGTCGGAAGCACCCGCACCGGTGCGCGAAGGCGACGAAATCGCGGGCGGGAACGACGGGCAAGAAGGCCGTCGAGTGCGACCGCGAAGATGATGTCGTCAGCGATTCGCATGTCTCCTCGTCTGTGCGCGTCCCGTCATTCGCGTGACGGACTATTTTTCTGTTCTCAGAAACTCGCTTGGATGTATCGACAGATGAATTACAATGTTTTTCTGTTCGCATGGAGACCGTTATCATCAGCTCATTCATCTCTTCATCAGCCTTATTTAGCGTTTCGGCCTCGTGCCTTGAATTTTCTTAGTTCACACGTCTCGAGGTACTCGAGCGCGTGCTTCGAGTCTTCATCGAATTTTCTCAAACGCTTCAGTCGCTCTTGGCCCGTTGAGTGGTTCAACTTGTACCAAAACTGTCCAACCTGAACCTCTCTTTCCCCATCATCTTCATGGTCCCATCGCGCGAGTGTGGCCACATCGTTCGCTCTCGGCAACTTGCCATCCAAGTGGTCGCGGACGTGCGCGCTGAAAATCTTCAACTTGCGCGCGGCGTGCGCTGTGTACATATATGCATGGCCATCTTCGCGAAATACACATGTCTCGAGATACTCGAGCGCATGCTTCGAGTCGGCATCGACGTTTCTCAAACGCTTCAGTCGCTCTTCACACTTTGAGTTGTTTAATTCGTTCCACCACAATCCCACCGGAACGCCGTCTCTTTCCCCAGCATCTTCATGGTCCCATCGCGCGAGTGTGGCCACATCACGAAATCTCGGCAACTTGCCATCCAAGTGGTCGCGGACGTGCGCGCTGAAAATCTTCAACTTGCGCGCGTCGTGCGCTGTGTACCTGCATGCACGTCCATCTGATGTCGTCGTCGTCGCACGCGATCGGTCGACGCGCGCGCGCGCGATGATCGGCCTCGGCGTCGACGGTCGCGCGAACATCCGCGCCGTGAAGTGAGCGTTACGCAAAACGCCTGTACTTTTTTCGTGACCAACGACCTAAACGAGACTTGGCTTTTCTTCGTTCACATGTCTCGAGGTACTCGAACGTATGCTTCGAGTCGTCATCAAATTTTTAGGGTATTTTCTTGTACATTTTCTAGACCCTAATTCGATAGGGGTATGCCCTGTCCACGGTGTGTCTGTCTCTTTTCGTGGTGGTGTTGCTCTGGTGTCGGGTCCTCCTGTATGTTCTAGACCCTAATTCTAGGGGAATTGGGTTCGAAGTTATGAAGACATTTGGTGGAGCGATGAACGCTCTGGTAGGGCCCTTAAAGAAGGCAGTTTTCGAAAAAGACGCTGACTTCTCGCGTTCGTGCTATGTACATGGTGGAAAAAAACATCGCCCTGATATGGTTCTTGACAACGCAATGGATGACAATGTAAAATTTGTCTTCGACCTCAAGAACGTTTTGGCGCCGTGCACGCGAATCGGCTCGGACATCGTTACGGTTGCAGATCATCTCAGAATTGCTGAAGAGAACAAAAGGAACTCGCCGGCGTGGAAAGACTTTGTACCGCAAGATGGCATGGCTTGCGAATTTGTACCATTTGCGATTGGCTGGTATGGTGAGATGGGTCGGGAAGTGAAGAGTTTTGTTCG